CCCCCCCCCCCCCACGAACCCTTCTCTTCGCCTCCCCCAATGCTCCCGTCTCTCCTCCTCTTCGCAGGCTCCGTCCCTCTCTCTGCCACCGTCACCTTTTCGCCCACGCCCACAGGCAAACACTTCCTCTTCCAACGTCGATCTTCAAAACAATCGACGTCGCCGGAGTTGGTCGCAGTGGCTTTATCATTAAATCCTCGATCGCATCCCACAGAAGGGGATGGGCTTCATAAACCAGCCACCCAGAAAGGTGACCGATCATCGACAGATTCTGCTAAAGAGTGGCAGAAAGCAGCAAAGCAAGACGCAGCAAACAGAATTATATTCATCTCAACCCCTTCCACGCATTAGGTATGCAGCATTGACCCCTCTTGCATATACAAACAAGACGCGGAACATGAGAAAACGACGGCAATATGAATATGAAGGGAGAAAGAGAAATTAACACGAAGAATGACGATCATAAAGGGATGAATGATGGACGGAGGATTGTTGAAATAGAAAAGAAATCACCCGGCTCTCAATTTCGAGGAAATCCGAGATATTGACGACGATTCTTTCGGCATCCTGGTGAGACGATATATGTACATTGTACAGTTTCTGCCGCAATAGAGTAGACTCCCACTCTAAAGCGGGATTTCGGCGACCTACGAGATTCCATCAAAAGAAACAACGACGATATGATGTTGCCAATCCTCCAATGTCTCCCTCCTCGGCCCGTCACTGCTTCCTCCACCAACGCCACCTCCACGTCTACATTCCCTATTCCTGCCATCCTTACTCCTTTCTCCCTCTTTTCCCCCTGCAATGGCCGGGGCAAACTCTCAGTCGATCAGCAAAAATCCAACGGGTCGGGAACTCGCACGGGGTCCTGAAGACCCTCGTTAACACGCCCTCCCTCTCTCTCAGAAAAAACACCCCGCCCACCCCTCGCTCTCTCCATCACTCTGAGAAAAGGTTCATGCTCACCCCTTTCTCCGTTTCCCCCACAACTCCCTTCTTTTCTCTCATTCTCCCTCTCTTCCCCGCCCTTGCTCTCGCTTCCAACACAGACAGAGATAAACTCAAAACACCGACGCAAAACCCTAAAACGGAGTGCTGCTCCAAACCTGCTGCGAGCGCTGCGGGGGTTGCTGATACCCACTTACTTGGGGAGGCAAACCCCCAGAGGAACCGACCACCTGCTGTTGCGTTGCTTGGTGAAGCAGTTGGTGTCCAGAGCCCCCCACCCCGACCCCTCCGGACGGGGACAGATGATGATACAGCCCGCCTGCGCCTGACGTGTAAGCTCCTGGGGAAGGGTGATGAACCGAAGGGCCATGCGAGGGTTGCAGCTGCCCTTGCTGAGAGTGCGTGTAGGTCACATACGGACCCTGGCCCGACAGATTGAAGAAGGAGCTTCCACCGAGCGTTCCCCCTCCCGTCAGGTCTCTTGTCGACATTTGCTGCCCTGGAATGTAGAGGCTACTGCTGTTGTCCTTCAGCTGCTGCTGATGGTGATGCACTCCACCGCCTCCGCCCGTTTCATCTACCAATGCGCCCGTGGAGCCAACGCCGCCGCCGGCACCGCCAGCAGCACCCGCCCCGCCGGCCGAGATCGCTCCTGAAGCCACTTGTCCCGTCGCAGCGGCCGCGTACATCGATGGCGTCGCCACAGCATATCCTCCGTACCCCGGCGGCGCTGGAGCAGAGTGTCCTCCCGTTGCTGCACCCCCCGAACTCGGCTTATAAGGAATCGTGTACTTCATGGGCCCAGGAGTGCCGGATATGAAACCACTTCCCGCTGCGGTAGGCGGCGGTGGCGGCGGATAAGCGCTCCCTCCCGTCGCAGGAGCGTAGGGATTATTCGGAGAGAAACTTCCATAGGGATTCAAGAAGTGATAGCTTGGCGGCATCGTGAAGGGATACGTGCTGTACAAAGTGCTTCCACCGTACGGCGTTCCCACCGGAACACCAGTCAACTGCGTTGGCAGGGAATGCAGAGGCGGAAGCGTGGGCTGCGCTAGATTCTGTGTCGGCGTTTGCACGATCATCGTCGACGTAGGTGACGCGCTAGTCACCCTTCCTGGCCCCATCACCGACGGGGACCCCGCAACGTCGTCTTGTTGCTGTTGCTGCTGCTGCTGTTGGGTCTGCTGCTGTTGCTGCTGATGCACCTGCGAAGATCTACTACCCACCTCCGCCGCATTCATGCCGATCTTCTGCGCTGTGGAGACGCTAACATTAGTCGCAGAATTGAGAGAGTGCTGAGAGCGCCCGTCGTCAGGGTCAACTAGCGTCGTTGCCAGGCGTCCTGCCGTAGAAGACGAGTAGAAGCTGACGGTCGGGTCCGAGTACGGCGAGGCCGCCGCTGCGTTGAAGCCAGACAAGCGGATGGACTCCAGCATGCCCTGGGACTCCGAGCTTGTTCCTTCGTAGGGTGCTAACTGTGAAAACTGAGCCGATAGCTGAGGAATGATGCCATACGTCTGGTGACCGTAATTAGGAAGTACATACGCATACGGAGTCGTCTGTTGCTGCTGTTGCTGCTGCTGCACAATCAGCTCCGTCGCCGCCGCCATCGTTGCT